GGAAAAAAATAAATAGCTGTAGAGAAACTCAAGGCCATTTGTCATTGCCTATGGCTAAGTCAGATGACAAACTGAGATTTAATAGCAGCGCAGGGGTCTATACCAGGAAACCAGATTCTCAGTAAAAGGTCTGGGGGCACGGAATCTTCTAACCATTTTTTTAAAAAGTAATTTTATTATGTAAAAAAACACCCCTAAGTCTATAATATTTCCTATAATTTACTGCAAACTAAACCACCATTCAGATCAATGTTTCCCAACCTTGGTCATTTTAACTTGAGTGGACTTCAACTCCCAGAATTCCCCAGTCAGCCTAGCTGGCTGGAGAATTTTGGAAGTGGAAGTCCAAACATTTTAAAATTGCCAGGGTTGAGAAGTGCTGATTTAGATAAGGGAAACAGTGTGAAAAGGCAGACTCAGAATCATAATTAATACCACGAATAAAAAGGACATTTAATGTATCTTAAGCACAATTTTTCCAAGCCTCTAAAACCAGCAGTTTTGTGATGCAATCTAAAAAAGTAGGTGATTTTTAAAAATTAGGCTTTATTAATATTCGATGCAAGTGATTTAATACCTTTATGTAGCAATGTTTTCTGCCAATTTACAGTGGTAAATTTAAATTCTAAGTAAGCAGAGCTATGGATCTATAACCTAAACAGCACTAATTGCACCATTAAAATTATTATTATTATTATTATTATTATTTATTCAAATACAACTAGGGGAAAATAAGCAGGAAAAAGAAAAAAAAAAAAGGATCTTTACAAAATTTGTTGTAAAACTTCAAAGTAACCATGATATAAATTTTCCATATTAAAATATCTTCTATTATTCTGAAATTTTACGTGCATATAAGTGTTAGATTACAACCTCATAATTAATGACTGTTGCCAATATAACTCAAGTCATACGTTAAAAACTGAGATAAAGAAGCTGCAGTAATTTATATCTTATCTGGAAAATTTGGTGTGTTGTAGAAATCATGAAAAACTATCACTATCTTATGTTAGGAAAAACCCAATGATTGGATGTGTTATAAGATGTGATTTCAAAAATTTCCACATTCAAGTTAATCTCCATATCAGATTAATTTTTTTAGACATGGAGTTAATTTTTATAATTACACACACTCCCAAAACTTCCACATTCTTCTACACGAGGGAGCCAATCTGAGAAAGGACCTACCTCTTCAAAGTTGTCAATCATAAAAAATATGTTTGGATAGCTAATCTTCGATTCCTCGCCCTTGCTGTCCATGGGGTGTTTACTTGGAGATGCGAAGACTTGCTGGAAAACACCATTTGGAAAATATGATATAGCTTGATATGTATGTATGTATGTATGTATGTATATGTTATTCAGCTTTGTTCGGGTATTTTCCCGAACAAAGTCACAGGTCATAGCATCAACTTCAATGGCACCAAAACCCTAGCCACTATAGAAAATCCCAGCCACAGAATCATCAGAGAAGCCATAGAGATTGAAAAAAGACCAGAAAGCATGAACAGAAGAGATGATTCCACCAGACTGTCAATCATTTGGAAGCCTGCACTCACAAACAAAAAAATCTCCACACCACTAGCCAGGCAAACACCTGGGCACAAACAGATCCCCCCTGATACCTCCAGCTCAAACACACCCCAACCAGGCACCCAGATGAAACGGAGCTTCCTAACAAATGATAGCCGTCCATTTACTCGGAGCCAAGCTGCACTAAAAGCCTCCGATACAGGAAACACAATGCTGCCAGCCAATCAAGACACAAAAAAGCCACAAAACAGACAGAAGATATTAGAAACACCAATCAAGCAGAACACAGCAAACTCCAAGACCAATAAACACAGACCAAGACTCCCAACCAATCAGGATGAAGAAAAAACCATTCTGGCACAGCAGTAGGCTAGCCCCAAATTTAAAACTGAAACAACTGTAAAAGTCTGACTCACAGACGAACACAATACAGAAGCCTGATGATGGCAGATGAGATTCTGCCGAAACGTTGCTACAACTTTAAAAGCACAACTATAATGACGTGGGAAATGTACAATCACGGTCTGGTAACTCCTGCGACGCAGCTGGAACTAATCGTATTGGCTCTGCCGTTCCATTAGACTATTTCAGTAACGTGGAGAGGGGGGAATCTGCTGCTTGGGTAACAGTTTATCCTCCATATTAAATTACCCAGGCCTCGTGCTCTGGAGAGGACACTCCAGCTTTGCATACCGCATTGAAACAACACAGAAAGTGGCAGTTACTGATTTCATAGCATGATACCATAGTCTCTTGAGACTGGAGGATGCCGATTCAATACTGGGTCATGTGGCCAGGAGGTAAGAGGACTCCTTTAAGATGGAGCACCTCCATTAAGATGGATTTTGTCATAAGCTCCAAGCTGAATTCAGCCCATTTTCAAACTGGATTTTTCTTTTTGCTGGCTCTCCCCACCCTTTCCCCTCACAATACAAATGAGGTCGTGTTCTGTTCAGTTTGGGGAGGTTATCCTGCAGACTGACAGACAGACAGAATCCTGAACTTTTCCCCATAATTTCTTTCAGTCACTCTGTTGACTTGGGAATAATATGAAGAGGTCTGGCTTGAAGAAATGGGAAGGAGAAGAAGAAGAAGAGGAGGAGGGCTTACCTCTTAATTTGATGAATGTATTATGACAAGTTGACATGGGGGATTTTACTAAACCCATTTGAAATGCTCCTTAAAGCTATTCTCGGGTTATGCTTGGGGCTATCACTAATTAAAACTACTTGAGCTATATAAGAACGCCATAACATTAGTTCATGGGGCGTGGGGAAAATGGGGCAAAATTGAAGCCAAAACGAGGAGACACCCTTCAAAGTTCCCAAATTGCAGAAATACTCACCTGGGACTTCTTTTTATGGATGTGAATATCCCCTCCATCGGAACGAGTACATACCGCACACGTCACTATATAATCCAGCTGAAAGAAAATCAAAGTATTGGTAATGAAACACCAATCAGGCATCATGTTTCTCATTAGGTTTTCCTTTGTCTACATGTCCAGATCCGCCAATAGAAAATATGAGGTCCTTCGGTTTTCATTTAATGAAATAATCTGAAGCTACTTTACCACAGAAGTATTTCATGTTTCATGTTCAATTGCAACTAAAGGTCAACACAATCCTACTGGTCACTTACTAGGTTTTCTATAGCTCTTGCCCCTTCTTGGATCTATGGGCTCTTATCTCTCCATCGTTTCTCCTTCCAACCTTCTTTTCCCTAATTTGTGTGCATCTGAAACTTTCTCAGACTTTAGGTTTTTTTTTTTCTTCCTTTGGCTCAGCCCATTCCTTCTGTCCTGCATCCACCTGAGCACTGAACTGAATAGATCAATTGCTGAATGGCAAGTGAATTCTCCTTCCTGCTCTATTGCTCAGCAAACCATCCAGAGAAATTCCAGCCACCTCCAGTCATAAAATTATTTAAGCCAGTGTTTCTCAACCATGGCAATTTTAAGACATGCGGACCTTCATTCCCACATTGTGTGGACTTCAGCTACCAAGATGAATGGACTTCAATTCCTCCCCCCTGCTGGCTGGGGAATTCTGGGACTTGAGTTCGACAATCTTCAAAGAATCATACAATCATAGAGTTGAAAGCAACCTTGGAGGTCTTCTAGCCAACCCCCCAACAAAGGAGTCCTTGTTCCATCCTAGAAAAATGGTTGCCCCATTTCTTTCTTGCAAATATCCACAGATATTTTCCATACCTCCAGGAGGCAAGCTGTTTCTTTGATAAATTGTTCTCACTGTCAGGAAATTCCTTCTTATTTCCAGAATGGATTTCCTTCTGATGAGCTTTCCATCTGTTGCTTTTTGTCCTGCCCTTTGGAAAATAAGTTGACCCCTTCTTCTCGGTGACAGCCCTTTAAGTATTGGAAGAATGCTATCAGGCGTCCCCCTGAGCTTTGTCTTCATTAGACATTTCTAAGTTGTCAAGGTTGAGAAACACTGCTTTGGGCCATTACAATGTGGCTTTCAAATGAGAGAAGAGCATAAAAAAGATTATTTAAAGCAGGCCAAAGGACAAGAAAAACTCAAAGTTATGGAAGAGTGATTTCCATGGAGGCCAGCAGATTCAACGCTTGGTAATTTAGCTGGTTAGTTGCCTTCCATCTTGAATCTGCAAACTCACAGCACAGCTACCTTTCTGACATATCAAAAGATTAAGGAATAGGACAGTTTCAATTATATCAATATTCTTTGAAGGAAAAATGTTCAAACTCTTCCTTAGGAAAATACCACACCATTGCCGATCAGCCTTACAAATAAATAATCCCTCAAAGGTGGAATAGAAATCTAACAAATAAACTTTTATCCCACAAAATAAAATATGTTTTCAAAATTTAGCTGAAGGGCTGTTGATTAATCTATTAATTCTTGGAGTTGAGATTAGACAAGGAGAGGGGAAAAATTAAGATGTGGGGGCAACATGAGGCTTAAACACCTCTTGAACCCTCCACTCCAAACAAAGTTCCAAATATTTCGACCCTATTCACTTCTAGAATTTAGAATCATCCAAAGGGTTTGTTCACCTTTGTCCCCTAACACACTGGAATACTTGAAATGTTTTCAACAAAAAAACCACCCAAATTTATTTATGCTCTTGGCTTATTGCAAGAATTTGTTGGCAGCGTTTCAGTTTCAACAACAGAACACTGAAAGTAGATGAAATCACAAATTAAAACCCAATTGGACAAAACAGTATCAAAGGTTTGGTTGGTTTGTTTTTTAAGAAAAGCCAAAAGGAGGGCAACTTTCTATAAATCATTACAATCTCTGGAAATGAAACTAAATCACAAAGGAGTGTGTGATGTCTGGCACTTTGATTAATAACACCAAAGCTAATTTAAGACTGACAAACCTCCACAAACAATTTTTAAAAAGCAGTCTTTTTTTTTTTCACTCCAAGTGGCTGCTTTGTCCAAGAGGCACTCACCAAGCAGAGAATGAATAACACATAGTATCTTTGTCCACTCTGCACTGCTATAGGAACATCAGAGTACATGTAGTGTCTTTAGTCAAGCTGAAATTGCTGAGGAACAGATAACCTTACTACAGGTTTAAACAGATGGAAAGTCTCAAAATGACCAAGTGATTGATAGATCGTGCCAATTCAAGCCAAGGTACCATTCTTATTCTCAAAATACCCTGCAAATTGCAGGCATCCCCTCTCCTAATGCCAGCAACCTTTGGAGAAGAGAAAAACTGAAGTCACCTTCTGCAGTATAAGGTTCAGGTACACGCTCTCCTCCCAATCAATATCGGGATCTCCCAAACCTGGAAGCTTCTTGGAATCTCTGCGGTACACTTCAACTTCAACCTGCTAAAACAAAGCCCAACAGTGTAGGTAAGAATCACACTAGAACTGGAAATCTAATATTTGGGGAGTTCAGAAGCTTCATAAGGAAGGACGATGATTAATTCACAGGCTCAGGATCAAGTCACACACATTCAAGTCAAATATGGATAGCAGTAGCACTTAAGACTTATATACCGCCTCACAGGGCTTTTACAGCCCTCTCTAAGCAGTTTACAGAGTCAGCCTATCATCCCCAATAATTTGGGTCCTCATTTTACCCACCTTGGAAGGATGGAAGGCTGAGTCAACCTTGGTGAGATTTGAGTCAACCTTGGTGAGATTTGAACTGCAAAATTGCAGGCAAGCCAGCAGGCATCAGAAGTAGCCTGCAGTACTGCACTCTAACCACTGCGCCACCGTGGCTCATACCTGAACCTAAGTCCTCCATTTTCATCCCATATATTCAATTTGAAGTAGGAAAGAGGTTCCCATCGCTTTCTTCTGAACAAATAGCCCTTAAGAAAAGTTACTTTTCCTGTGGTAGATTTCAGTAGTGTCTAACATCTTTCTTCCATTCAGTATTTTTACTCTTATTGCCTCTTCTGTCACATTATTGCTAAGTTATATGCCCTTTATCAAATAATGACCCTGATAACACTTATGAGATATCTACACAACACTCTACATTTAGAATGTGGCTTATAATATCCACCAAAAGAAAATGACAGATTGGTAATATGTTGATTTCTACAGTGAAGAGGTTGGCTAATCTTGAAAACAACTGAACAAGGTTAAGAAAAGTTGGTATTTTCCATTTAATGTTGATATTTTGGGGTCAGCAGGTTGGAAATTAGTGATTATGGTGGCATCTTTTGATTATGATTTTGTCAGATCACAAACATAGCTAGATCTGTAGCCCAGGCTAAGTACCGTAAGTCAGGAAAGTATCTTAGAAGAATGCAATAGCAAGGCACATTGATGTTGTTGTGAAGAAACCTACATGGAGATTGTATAGTCCCTATGGGTCATGCTTGATTCTAGGAATTCTTTATCTTTTAATATTGGCTTCGTTCCTTGCCAAAACTGCTATGTATGTAAAAGTCCTTTGAGTACTGCAAAAAGCTTATACTTTTATCAATTAACAGTTGTGATATATTAAAAATCCATCGTGTTTGTTGAGATCTTTTGAGATGGCCTGAAACCTTTTGATGTGGTTTCAGCAATCTCTTGCTCAAGGATGCTGTTCAATGTTTTTCCAGAAATGCTGAAAGGCTCCAGTATTACAGTAGTTTGTCCTTGTTTTGAGCCCCGAGGTCAAACTGGGTGTCCATTCTTTCTTTTGTGGAAAGTCTGTCTCGTTTGTCCTATCCAGAATCCAGAGGCCCACTGCTGACACCCTACATACACCTATTCCATGCATCTGATCAAATGAGTTGCAGATCAAATGTGTTAGTTGGGCAAATGTGTTAGTTGGGCAAGGCAATATTTAGATTGTAGTGATTTTAAACATTGTGTAATTAGAATTAGGGTCCAATTGTGTTCCATCTACCGATAGAAGTTGGGCCAGTCAGTGGCTTTGCCTGGAACAATTTGATGGAATCCAGACCCAATCCAACCCTCCCTCCCCCAACACAATATAGTAAAAATTTCTCAATAGCTGTTTTACGGCTCTGTCAGGCGTGGGATTCTACCAGTTCGAACCTATTCGCTAGAACCGGCTGTTAACATTCTAAGCAGTTTGGAGAACCGGTTGTTAGAAGAAATTACTGGGCTAATCCTGTAAGGAAGGCAGGAAGGAAACATTCTGGGGTTGCTTACAGAAACTGCCTCTATGTTAACCCTTATTACATTCTTGGCAGGATTAGATTTCCTGTCTCAGGAATATCTCTGGAGATTTTTTCCCCTCCTTTGCTGGTACTTTGCTTGTGTGGAGTAACTATTCAAAGTTACAATGGCACTGAAAAAAGTGACTTATGACCCTTTTTCACACTTACGACTGTTGCAGCATCCCCACAGTCATGAGAGGCCAGGCGAGGAGATGTGTGCCTCGATGTGAGTGATATTGAGTTGGCCACACCCAGCCAATAACATGACCACCAAGCCATGTCCACCCAGTCACATAACCACCAAGCCACACCCACCACCTAAGCCACACCCACCACCTAAGCCACACCCACAGAACCGGTTGTTAAAAATTTGAATCCCACCCCTGGTCTCTGTCCTTCCAGAGTTACGCCTTCCCATTTTGTTTCCATAAAATGGGTATGAAAACTGCTGACAATGGAAGGTATATATGCTTATTCCTAGAAGATGCCCAGCCAGAGTAATTTCTGGGAAATTCAATGATTCAATCTTCTACCTGTAGCTCTCAGATGTTTTCTCATAAATTCATTCATTCATTCATTCATATATATGTGTATGTGCGCGCGCATAAGTGCACCATCGTGCCTACCGTCCTTGTCCTATTGTCCAAATTTATTCGTACCTATCTCCTGTATTCTTACTCATGTTTATACTTATATCTATTACCTTGTAAGTGATTGACAAATCAAATAAATAAATAAATAAAATAAAATAAATATATATATGGTATTGGCGTATATATGATACACTAAGGAAGGAAATAGCTGGTGACACAAGGTGTCATCCACTTTTCACCCTAGAGGGAGAGGAAAATATATGGAAAGCTCTTATCGGTCATCCAGAGTTTATTTTAGAACTAACCACATAGGAAAATGTAAATGTTCTCAGTGAAATGCAGCTTCAGCTTTCAAGATCCTGCCTACAGCACGCAGCTGATGGTCTTCGATGGTGGACATCATTTTACAGGCTGCACTTATGCTTGCAGTTTGGCTTTGAGTGTCTCATACTTTTTATGTGTGTGTAAGCCACTAGGAATTATTGGATTCCAGTGGCACATAAATGAAAACAAGGAAATAAGTAAATTGCATTGGGTTTCAGCAAGTACTGAAAGAGTTGCAAATAATTCATTGGAAAAGGAAATACCTCTATTAACACGTCCTACTATAATTTGGTTGATTTATAATTCAATTTGCAGTTATGCTATTAAAAAGTAGCAGCTCTGTTTTCATTAGTTTGAATGCAGGAAGAAATGGATAAAATGTCATTTGTGGTTCAGGTAAAGTCAGGAGGGAAGCAAAATGGGGGAGATAACAATAATTCATAGAGAGTGAAATATTTGCAGCAAAGAAAGAGCGAACAGCGCCTTAGCATTTAAAATGAAGAAGAGCTAGACCGAGATTGGACAAATTATGAGCGGATTATCGATGAATCTGTATTCTGAAGATTAATGCATTATCTCTTTCTTGGAAGATCAGTAATCTAGGGACAAATATCACAATTTCTATTCTCACTGCCACCATCAATTCAGCAAACCTCCATTCTCTAAAAGTTGAGAAGTTTACACGCTTGTATCTTTCAGCAAAGTGAACTGTTGACTCAGACAGAAAGAGAAAAGTCTAGCCCAGGCTTGCTCCTGTCTTAGAGTGAGTTATTTTCCTTTCTATTTAAAAATCACAAGTGCACATCCCAGCCTCGAGCTGTAAACTCAACTCTTTTTAGTGTTTGGTTTGAAGAAAAATCTCAAAAATGCTTAGCAGGTCATTTTTACTGCTCCCCTTTTCTACGTGGCAGATATTGCCAGAAACTGGACAATTAGTGCTATGCAGGGTCCTGTTTGCTTCCAATCACTTTCCAAATATAAATATAAATAAATATAAATAAATATAAAAATATAAAAATATATAAATTCTGCTCTTGGGTTGCCAAAAACGAACATCCAGATTAATTACGTGATCAACCCTGATTTAATTTATGCCTGGAATAAGATATGCTTCCAGAGATGGACTGCTGGGGGTTTGCAGGGGTTTGCGAGATCCTCTAGCTAAGATTCTGCAGTTCAGAGAATCCCCAAATCCCACTCTTGGATGGCCCCCCCCCCCCCCCCCCCCCCCCCCCCCCGTCCCCCCCCCCCCCATTTTGGATGCAGGTAAGTGCAGGCCGTGTGCGGAGGCTTGGGAAAAGTAAAAACCGGGCCTCCCGGAAGTTCGGGAAGGCCAGAAACAGGCCTGTTTCTGGCTTCCGGAGAGCCTCTGGAGCCCACGGAGGCTGTTTTCGCCCTCCCAGAGCTCAAGAAAAGCCTCTGGAGCCTGGGCAGGGCAAAAACTCCCCTTCCGCAATGGTGCAGGGGGTGGGCTTCAAAAATTTTAGCAACAGGTTCTCTGCCTGGTTGCTGGGTGGGTGTGGCCATGGTGGGAGTGGCCTCATAGGCCTCCTGCAATACAGCGGGGGGGGGGTGCCCTCCCCCAGCTCCGGAGGCTTTCCTCGAGCCTCCGGGAGGACAAAAATGGCCTCCCCAGGTTCCGGAGGCTCTCTGGAAGCCGGAAACGGGCCCATTTCTGGCCTTCGCAAACTTCTCGGAGGCCCATTTTTCGCCCTCCCCCCAAGCTTCCGCACACGCCCTGCACTTACCTGCATCCAAAACGGGACATGTGGGGACTCCTGGGAGGGGGAGGATGGGATGTGCGGGGCCAACCAGGAGTGGAATTGGGGGTTCTCCGAACTGCACAATCTTAGCTAGGGGCTCTCCTGAATCCCTGGGAACCCCCAGCAGCCCAGCCCTACACCCCTGTATGCTTTTCTTCATGGATTTTAGCAGAGCAATTAACTGTTTATGTGTATGAATTATGACCACAATTGGGATCAGAATTTCCAAGGCTAAGCAAGGCAACTATTGCTAATTGCAAATATTAAATGAATCACTCAGTAGTTCAGCCAATCCCTCACTGTCTTTGCTTGCCAGAAGGCATCTGGAAAGATTGCAAGTGGTGATTCCAGGACCCGGGATGCTACAGATGTCTAGTACAAATATATGGAGGTGACCAAGTATCCAAATTGTGATCGTGTGAACAATGGGGATGCTGCGGCAGTTGCAAGTGCGAGGACCAGTTGTTAAGTCACTTTTTTCAGGGTCATTTGTAACTTCAAACTAAGCAATGGTTTTAAGTCAAGGACTACCTGTAACGTCTTCACAAATCATGTTGAATTGCATTCTTGGAAAGTATATAAATGTCTGCGAATCTGTCCATCTTTTCTTTCTTTTTTTAGTATTTTACAGTAATAATAAAAATGGTAGAAAATACCTAGCATTAGTAGAGTCAATGTTCGATGTTATTTCGATCCTTGTAAAGTCCTGAAGTGTGTTTCAGAGGTGGTATTCAGCCAGTTCTGACCAGTTCTGGAGAAGTGGTAGTGGAAATTTTGAGTAACCAGCAAATACCACCTCTGACTGGCCCCGCCCCATCTATTCTCCGCCTCCCGATTCCCAGCTGATCGGCTGGGTCTTCTTTCTCCAGAACTGGTCAGAACCTGCTGAATACCACCCTCTGTGTCAGCTGTATTGTATGACAAGGAGTATTTATTAAGCTTGAGATGAGAGGCAAAGCTTCACTCAGTCTGATCAATTGTAAGTGACAATCAAGTGTGGAGTGGATCAGCCTCCAGGTGACATCAAGACAAGCCAGGAGATTAGGAATGGTGGTTGTGTTGAGATCAGGCCATCTTCCATGGCCTAGCTAATCTCACCATTTATAACATGGATTGTGGAAGAAAAGAAGCTGGAATGTCAAGATTGAACTGCTTTTCTTCTTTCAAACCTCATTGGCTTTTCAACTTGCCAATGAACTATGGGGAGGGAAGGGTGAAATGGAATGCTGAGAACGTATGCGGAGATCGTGAGAGTCAAGGTCACCACTGCAGGTGCTGGAGAAAGAGAAGGACTGTTCCCATAACAAAAGGATGTCTCATAATTGGACAATGTGATCGCTCAGCAGTAGAGAAAAGAGGAAGCTGTTGTTTAACTAGGCAAGACTTTGTGAGGGAAAACCCGTGCTGGTTTTGTTTCTTCAGTACCAAAATGGTGTATCCAATAAAGATTTTTCAACCTTGACAACTTTAAGATGTGTGGACTTCAACTCCCAGAATTCTCCAGCCCAGCCATGTCGGCTGGGGAATGCTGGGAATTTAAATCCACACACCTTAAAGTTGCCAAGGTTGAGAAACACTGGCTTTTTGAATAGGCCTGAAGTTGAGGTGGGCCCATCATTAGCAAATAGCAGGCAACATAATAGGGGATTTCATGCATATTTATGGAAGCCAAAACTCAGGAGGACTCTGGTAGCCCTTTTTCTCACTTACACATTTTACTAAAAGGCAGAGGTTTTTGTGAGCATGCAAGCAAGCATCAAAAGGTTTCTCTAATCAGCTCTGATTTAATTCAAATTGGAGACTGGCAATTTGAAGAGAGAAAGATTTGAACGTGCAATTTGAGAGCAAAACAATTCAATTCGTTTTGGGATCTAATTTAAAAAGGAGACCTTTTAGATTGAAGGTGCCTATCAATTTGACAAATAAATAAAAATTAACACTGATTGCTTGCCACAATATCCTTTGCCAGATACAAGGATTATTAGAATCGTTTATTACTGTATTCCTTTAAATATGCAAACACTGTTTTATTGCAGTAGTAATCAAGAGGGAGCTACTGAGTTCAAAAATGCAATATTGTTCATGCCCAAGGGGATTTTACATCAAATAAACAGAATTGGTACAAAATTCCTGTTTGTATTCAATCTAAGAAGTGACAGGTGAAGATGGCTATAAATCACAAAACATTAATTTCATGCTTCACAAATGAAGCAAATATTTAACCAAGTGAGACTTGTTAAACCCACATGGGGGAAGGGGAGGGAACTTTTGTCAAACTAGTTTTGCTTTTCGAGATTAACCTGAAAAGAGAACACAAAATCATATCAAATAGGTGCCTGTATTTGTATGAAAGTATGTCAAAAACTGCATTTCTAGAAATATTTTCAAGTAGAGAGAATAAAGCTGAAATGCAAGATTAATAGGAGTCATTATTCTCTTTTGGTTCTGGGAAAAACTGTCAAAAGTCCAAATGAACACAAATTTAAAAGCAGCTCCAATCTTTATGCAATATTATGAGATGTATAATTTACATTCATAACCGCAGAAGATTTTTCTTTACAACATAGGATAATGCTGTATTTTTCCCCCCTTTATTTTAACCAGCGATTCAGGGTGGTTCGGGTGAACCAGATGTTGGTTAATTTACATCCGGTTTTCCAAACCGGTAGTTGAATTGACTGGCTGGTCCCGCCTGCCCCTCCCCTCCCCGCCCTCCCAGGAGTCTCCACGCAGCCCGTTATGGATGCAGGTAAGTGCAGGGTCTGCGCAGAGGCTCTGGGAGGGTGAAAAACGACCCTCTCAGAAGTTGCGGAAGTCCAGAAATGGCCCTGTTTCCAGCTTCCAGAGGGCCTCTGGAGCCCAGGGCAGCCTGTTTTCGTCCTCTCAGAGGCCCAAGGGAAGCCTCGGGACTCTGGGGAAGGTGAAAAATGGGCCTCCCG